GATAAATGACAGCAGCTTCTCACCTCCCCCATCACCCGATCAATAAATGACAGCAGCTTCTGAGCTCTCCCATCACCCGATCAATAAATGACAGCAGCTCCTGAACTCTCCCATCACCCGATCAATAAATGACAGATTTGTGATTTGACATGAGGGGATTCTCACAGAGGCATGTATTGTATACTGTTACCAAAACACGAGGTATCAGCGAGGTGTTACACCAGGAGGGGAGGGGGGCAGCTTGTCATCATCATTATAGCTGCCCCGCATCGTACACACCCAGATATTCAGATTCTGTACTTTAACCTCCCTGGCGGTCTGATTATTTTTTTTTCCTTTTTTGTTTTTAAATTTTTAAAATTCCCGCCAGTTCCGCCCCCCTGCGACGCGTACGCCCGCAAGGGACGGAACCCGGATGCCGGCATCCGCCAGAGGACACAGCGGGGGAATGTGGACTAGGTAAAAGACGCTACGCTGTAATCCCGAGTGTGGCTCGGGGGTTACCGCTTATAGTACTGAAAATTAACCCCGAGCCACACTCGGGAATAACGACAAGGAGGTTAAAACAAGCTCTCAGTCATCTCTGTATCTAGAAGAACTGTTCAGAGATCCATTTCAATTCCCTACTGAAATCTCAGCTTCTTCTATGGAGAGCAGATCTGGTCAGGCTGGCGGCCCTGATGTAAACACACAGCGGGTGTTTCTGAGGCTGCCCATACACTCTACAATCTGATTGTACCGACTCATTTACCAGGATTATGGCATAGAAGACAAGCCCAATCATTTATTATGCAGCCAGGCCCTACGCCATGGGGTGGGTGGCCCTCCAGCTGTGCTCCAAGTACAAATCCCACCATGCCTCTAACCGCCAGCCTTGTAATGCCTCATGGGACTTGTAGTGCCACAAGGGCTGGAGTTGCCCACCCCTGCCCTATGAGACTTCCTTTAAATGTATCAAGCTCCTTAGGACAGGGGTAGGCAACTCCGGCCCCCCTGCTGTACTCTAAGTACAAATCCCACCATGCATCTAGGCATCAGCCTTGTAACACCTCATGGGACTTGTAGTTCTACAACAGATGGAGGGCCGGAGTTGCCCACCCCTGCCCTATGCAGCTTGATAAATTTAAAGGAAGTCTCTAGGGCAACTCCAGCCCTTGTGGCACTACAAGTCCCATGAGGTGTTACAAGGCTGATGGTTAGAGGCATGACTGTACAGACTGTATGGCCGGCTTCAGATCACCACACATGTTGCAATCCGACCATACAACTAACGTTACCTTTATCAAAACTATATAATATGAGCACCTACCCAATGTAGCCAATCAGACAGGCCCTTGTGCTACGTAGTAATAGGCAGATCTAAAGGAGATTGTACAATCAGATTGTGACGTATGTTGTGAGCTTTGCAAACCAACTGAAACTCGACTTTAGTCTTACAGAATAAATAACTTTAGAAGCAGCTGTAGAGGTCGGAACGGCTTGTTTTAAAGCTCTTATGGTGCTTCTTGAGAATATGCAAACACTTGAGCATCCATATTCTGGGTGCAGGTCCCCTTTAAGAAATAGGCACCAGACCCATTACCACATAGAAGGCCAAAAACAATTTGGGGGAAAATTATGAAAAGGGGAGAAAAAAAAAAGAAGCAAAAACCATAAATAAATCACCTTTCCATTGGATGGGACATCGCTTCCATTCTCTGTCTTCTCCTTCTCTTTCTCCTCTACAACTTCTTTCTTCTCTACTACAACTTCTTTCTTATCTTTCTTCTCTACAACAACTTCCTTCTTCTCTTTCTTCTCTACAACAACTTCTTTCTTCTCTTTCTTCTCTACAACAACTTCTTTCTTCTCTTTCAGATCCTAAAAGGCCAAAAACAAGTAAAATTAATAAAACTGACAAACATCTATTAGAATAAACATCAGGGCCATGCAGATAGGGAGCGAGCACCATCCCCTGTCATCATCACACCGTCCACATCCCCATAAACGGACAGAACAGAGGAGGAGGAGGAGGGGAGAACGTGAACATCTGCCACTGCGAGAGCGCGCCCGCGCTCCCGACACCTCCCCCCTCTCACCGTATAACAAAGGCAGCCTGCCACCACCTGGCGAAGGAGTCAGTGCGCGCACGGCTGTATGCGCGCTCCCGCACGAGAGAAGGGGCAGGAGAAAGAAAAACAAGCG